ACTACCATCCAGGTATGTGCGCTGGCTATGAAGTTATGCATACTGGGTTGTTTGGGTGGATGATGAGATGACGCTCGTTTTGCTGGCGTATAAAGATCAACGTAGCGCAGGCGTGTCCTTCAGTTGAAGCGGTCGATATTTTCTAATCCGTCCTTACTCTGGGGAAGGCGGCATCGCTGCCTCCATGAATATGAACATGTTGGTCGCTTGGGGAAGCACTTTACTGCCTCCACACTCCTATCGCAGAGCAAAATGCGACTTTGCCAAAAGCCCATCACGTTGTACAAGACATCGCTGATCTTGGTCTGACTGCTTCCCTTTGGTCTTTCTGACATGGTTGCACCTTGTGGAATTAAGTTCCAGCCAACGTAGCCCGCTGGCTCATTACATTACTCAAGCCCAAACACCACGTCAAGGTGGAAAATTTAGGTCGGGAGCGTGGCACAACTTGAAACCCCGAGTGATGATGACGGCAGTTAGCCAGGTGAGAGAACTGCGCCCGAGACGCCCTGAATGGCTTGAAGACAACAAACCAGCATTTAAAACATCTGGTACCCGAAAAACGGAGAGCCTGCTGAATCTATTGCCCATCAAGAAAACAGCAGTGTCAGGACGCGCCCAGACATTGAAAAAGTACATGTGCAGAGAGTGACGCATCCCCAAGGTCACCATCGGTACGTTCGGAAAGCGGGTGCGTTGGCCGAGCCTACCAAACACGACTTAGCAACATAAGACCAGTGGAGTGGGGCTGAAATTGTTCACGATCGGAACACCGCCATTGGCTGTACAGAGCGAACAGGTGAATGACCATATCTGGCCATTTAGTCATCCTATATATTTACGCAGACGCTCTGTATGCTTTGTCCTGACAATACAGCCGTGTCCCGAGTTCTCTGTCTTCTCCCTATCGCGTAGTCTGGCAGGATCAGTGCAGGCGTAACCAATAGACGGCCATTCACGATACAACAAGCAGTAAGCGACTGCTGCACGTAACCTGACTCAGAAACCTCACCCAGGACGAAGGATGGAGAATGAGAGATGAACCTAACTCAGGGAAAGGATGATAGGCGGGGATGCAAGTGCGGAATCTCAAAGCAGCCGGAGGAATACCCGGAACATGGTTACTCAAGGAAGGTAGTCCGACTGGGGGGTTCACTTCCTCAGCTGGCCGACATGAATTAACAGGAGGAAGTTCCATCAGAACCCAGGGATGCTTCAAAATGTGCCACTCTGCAAAGGAAGAGGAAGTAAGACTTCCCCTGACAAATTCAAAGGCATCAATCTGGTGGTGAATTCAGGTAATTCTGAAATTCTCACTGGGTATGTCCTTGTCCCACCCCCTTCAACCTCTAACGGTCATCTGAACGCAGCTTCCGTGAGGACTATACTGACGTACAGTTTGAGTACCAGTTCGAGGGACGTCTGCTCAGTAACGGACTTTTCGTTGTGAGGAATCTGATTCATCAGACCAAGATCCGCATTCTGATGTCTGCGGATGACTGTGTACTGTTTCCAGATACAAGATACTAACTGCAGCACCTAATCGATAGGTTTTTAACGGTTGCTGTGCAGCTCATCCCAATTATCAACGCGGAGATTTCTTTCTACATCATCCTGCTCCAGGCGTGGTCCCCAACACTCGCGCAGCATCAAGACTGGAACAGAACTTATGGATTATTGAGCTGACTCCCGCCCGCTCGGAAAAGCATTGCCTGTCGACCTAGCTGTCGACCTTAGGCGCGATACCGAGGCTAGCGAGGCTTTTGACAAATTTGAGAGACGGGTGCAGAAGAACCGGGGCCGCGAATGGAGACCGAGCTGCACTTCTAAATGACAGTGGTTCTAACTGTCCTTTTGCACGGCATTATACTGGCGCACACTCTGATACTTACGAAGGCTTCACACGCACCGTCTGTTCAATGGACCGAATGAGTGTCGGATACGGATGAGGCCCTCTTACGGACGCGCTTTGAGCGAATGAATGATCACAGACAATCGTCTATGGTGGCTGAGACATCTCTGCGGAATGGACGGAAATATTAATCTGAAGCAGCTCGTATATGGCCAAATGAACACGAAGAACAGGAACCCTGGTGAACAAAAGCCTTTATGCCTGGATACTTTGGTTGAAAGTTCAAAAGTTCCTGATGTAAGGAACAAAACAGGACGGCATAGAGGGAAACGATACGAACTGGAGTTCGTCAATTCAAAGACTGTTACCTTTGAGTTAAAGGACCCAAGCGTCCAAGACGCAAGTGCGTCATCGAAGCTGTTTGACCTGAAGACCGAACTAGCTCGATTTGAAGCGACTGCGGTCGGGTTTGTGCTGATCGCATTGGACTGGTCGGTCATCGGCGGACTCAGTGATCTATCGGCGAAAAGTCAGACAAACTAAGTTCATCAGATTCACCCTAGCTTCCTGGGATCACTAGGTAGATACGCCTGCAACTCTGTGACTATCAGACCTAGCTGAATAATTGATAGTCTTGGCTAGCCATATGGTTGTGTCCAGAAAGCGTGTCCTGAGTGATGCGGACCGCCAGATGCCTCTCTGCACGTGGGACTAAAGCGTTCATTTGTAGCCACTTGAATTTACAATTGTGGGCTACTGTGCGGGTGTGCTGATGGTCTTAGAACTGTTCCTCTGTTCGCTCTCCGGTCTTATTCCCTCGGATCCATAATGAGTACAGGATTGAGAGCCGGATGCACATTCAGCAGACAGTCTGCAGTATAATCCATTGTACTCTGTTCAGTGTGGCAGACCAATCCGGAAACAGATGCCAATACATCATGCATACACTGATAGAAAAATCTGTAGCATGCAATTTAACAACAGAATAAGGCCAACTTGTGTTTGCCCATCACCATTTGACTATCTAGCTATATGAGCGCTGACGCGTGCACGAATCGCCTCTGATCAAAAGATCGCATACGAATGGTATCTGCAGTTGCCCGAACCTTCATTGTGACAAGTTTCAGCGATTTTGCTCAACGCAGTTGCAGTGCCTAATAACCGAAAACGCGCCACGAAGCAGGCTCGTTCAATGTTTTTTCAGGTTGTTCTACCTCACTGGTTCACACTCGGAAGAAAGACAAAAATGGACAGATTTGTCGGGCACACCATGAATCTGATGTTCTGAATTGGCCTTACTTCGTATCCGCCCCTGTCATGTTCTGTTCAACAGCAGATCCAGAGAGAACTAGCTGTATTCCTGTGTAGCCTCATATGCAGATAAAATGTGCGTATGTGCCATGTCGAAAATGTCTATAATTGAAATGGGACCAAGAGTGGTATAACATAATACTATCGTCCAAATAGATGCCACAGAGGTAAAAGTGGGCTCTTTCATTCATTCACCAGCGTTGGGATTCCGGTAGATGTACACAAGTTTAAGTCTAACTTTTGGTTTGAGATGGTGGAAAACTCTAAATAAATTAAACAGGCTAAGTAAATAAATAAATGAAGAACCAGATGAGCAGATAAGTGGATAAACAAATAAAAAGTGAGGATATACGTCTCTGTGTGCCTCTCTTCAGCGATCTACAGTCTATGTAAAGCGTTCATAGCTAGCAAACTTCTCGAGAGAGCGAATCGCAGAAGGACCGTGCTTTCGCATCCCAAAGAGCGGGTGCGTCCAAAAGGCTTGATTTTGGCGGTGTTCACTCATGGGAATTTCACGACACTTTCCATGCGTTTGTGACAGATTGCAGGCAGAGATACCCTACTATAAAACTGAAATTTCTTGATCTCGGCGAAAGGTAATTCGGTGTTGCCTTAACAGATATTTTCGAAAACCGGGGCTCAGCATCACAGTGAATGACAACTAATGCATTACAACTAATGAGGGCCCTCAGTCCCTAAAACTACTTTTGCTTCAGTGTTGTATTCGAGTGCCTAACCTGATAGATCAGACGGAGGAGCGCTGATTCAAATGACTACATTAAAGATTCCAATATATATATATATATATATATATATATATATATATATGGACAACGCTTGCTCGTACTGTGAATACCGTGTTGGATCTGATCTGCGGACCAAGTGTACATTAGAAGCGTTTTGCAGAACTACATGTAACGCCACGTGCAGATTGCTGACGCTGACTTAAACCCAAGGGAATGGGATCGAAGGTAAGGCAAAAAGAAGTTTGTTTACGACAAATGCACTAATTTGCATATCAGTTTGGTTTTGACGGAACCCAGCAGAATCTCTCGTCTGTTTCTTCCCACTAAGCTCCCCATTTTATTGCTGAAACTTCCACGTCTAATATTGCTCGGAACGCAGCCGGGAATCGACTGCTTTTGGCTAGTTTAGGTTGTCATGTGACTCACATCACGCGTAATAAAAACCCAGCGCACCCATCAAAACACAACACTTCTGTGTGTAGTGTATTCCGATTGCTTGTTGTACCTTACTATACTCCTAATAAAAATCACAAATCAATGCCAAACGAAACGATTCCGCATCAAGCGAGAGAAGTATGGGGTATGGAGTCTATTCGGCTCAGAATGCAGCCAAACACCTGACAGCATAGCTCTGAGACTTCCTGAAGAGCCTAGCATTTGTCTGAACAGATCGTTCAAACAAACAAGGCATCCATTTGAGAAAGTTACTCTTGAGGACTCAATTCCACCAATCGACTGTAATCCAGAAGAGCGTGTCCAGTCAATTATTCCCATAGGCCTAGCGAACAAGGTAAACTGGTCGAAATGGTTCATAAGTTTCTCCTGGGCACGTTCTTCATATTTTGAAGGCAGGAGAAAACGGGCAAAATGAGAACAGTATATACTAATTTTAAACAGATATTCTATCGTGTAGGTGAAGCCAAGGTACACTGAAAATCCGAGAAGCGCTGTACAGGTGTTTCATTATTGTTGGGAATCATCAGTGAGCGCCTCGCGGAACTCAGTGGAATCTCGAACCAGAGACCTTCGGGCCAGTGGTTGAACACATGACCGTTCGGCCGCGAGTGGCTGGTCAGCAGTGTGATTAGCTCTCACTTGGACAGGACATAGGAATATTTATTTGCCCAAATATGCTAGAAAAAAAAAGAAAAAGAGGACTAGCAATGGATATGAGTAAGAGTTAGAATGGAGTGATGCCAGCATCCATAAAGTGTTTATGAAGAAATCTACTCACTGCGGAGGCTAGATATGCGGGATTCAGACTGGCATTTGCTGAGAAATGGAACGCAGCCAGTATGCGTACTTCTGAATAAGGTGAAGACAGTGCAGGCAAGAGATGCTGCAGCCATCCTCGAGTGGCTTTTGTGTAGCAGTGGAAACATTGTGTTGGGGCAGTTGAATGTTGCGCCCGACAAACGCAGAGGAAGGCACGGATTAGGCTATTTCGAGCAAATTCAGCAGGTGAAGAATGGGTTCGTACAAACGGCCGTATTCGGTCTACTATACCCGAGTTGAGCACGGGAGTGGTGAACTCACTGTGAAAAGAGAGTGAAAAAGAGTAAACAGAAAAATTGACTATTCTTCTATCATCGGACGTTACCTAGATCGAACATAGAATTCACGGTGACAAGATGGATAAAACCGTGCTCTAAGAAGTCGTGTACGCTTTTTTCATTCGCACGGATAATCAGCAGCTGTGAATCCAAAAACCTTCCGGATACGAGTTGACCACAGTTGATCATCTGTGTGGCTAATGTTCACTGTGATGGGATTTAGCGCCACCTGTCGCGAACGCTGAGTGTTTATCCTAACTGGTCATTGATATTTGAGGATCTGGAATCGGACCAGATTTTAAACGTGAAAGTGGTGCGTTTTCGAAAAACCTGGCCACCCGTTCTTATTGTGATTCATCAGGCGGGTGCTGAAGGATTGGTCATGTGACCTATTGATTAAAAGCTATTTGCAACTTGGTCAGCAGAAACTTTGTCATCAACGGTTACTCATCGATCAGTAGAGTGTAAATGCCTGTCGGATTCACGTGAACGATCTCCTCAAAGTGACCTGATGAGTCTCAGCAAAGGCAAGTTTTCTAAAATCGACCACTTATTACACGAGTCGTACCCTCGGTACTTATTAGGCTGATGGGGACCCTTTGAAAGCTCACCACTGAGCGTAAACAGGAGTCGTTGGTTGGTTGTCACAACCACCAACCCACCGCTACGCATCACTACGCTCCCCAATAACGCACTGATGATGTGGTGCTGAAACGCTTGCAATCAAATTACCCAGCTTAGCCAACGAGCCAACGACCATCTACGCTACCTGAGCTACCAACATTTTCCTCCATAGATAAACGGGAGTTATTGGTGACATCCTTTCCGTTTGTGACCGAGCCCTTAACTTGGATAATATAAATTCGGAGACGGCGTCATCAAATGAGCACTGAACACGACGAAGACGATAGTGGGCTGTCAATATGCTTCCATCAAATAAGCGAAGACCTGGGAACAACAACTGGATATCTTGAACATCGGTCTAACTGGATCCTGAGGAACCATGGAGCAGCACATTTGGTCAAAACATAAACGAGGGACTTGTCAGGTTTCCACGTTACTATCACAATCGCAAATGAGTACTCAGCTTTTCAGGGCTCCCAATCCTGATGTTTTGCTATGAGAAACAACGTCTGGTATAACTGAAGAATAGAGAATTCGAGTCATGCAGTGAGAAAAACAAGTTGACATCTACTGAACCTTAGTAACCGTAATAGGAACACTCCACATGGCCTATACAGAACGTTTCGTGATTCAAGTGATGCAGTCGGTAATGTAGCACCTCCTCTATAATATAAAAACAGAGAAAAGCTGACCATAATGAGGATAAAACGATACTTAAAATAGTCCATCGCTAGTGATCGTCATACCAGCAGGTGAAAAATTTTTGAAGCTATTAAAAAGTTTCGTCTGTATTGTCCGATGCATTGAATCAGTCTTCCGAACTTCGAATGTGTTCGCGAGTACCGCCATACTTTTTCATTTTTAACTTTGCTAGGGACTTTGGACCACCTTGAAAATGAACACTTTCTGGTCTAAATTACCGATAGAAGCACGGAACCTCATTTTAAATACTCGGATTAGACCCCCATATATTATTTACAATTAATTGTCAGTTCCCATCCAGGTGATCTGTACACTTACGGTTCCATATTCCAGAACGTTAAGATATAAAATACACCTCTCCATATGGAGCGAACATCGTGAGTGTCTACAGACTTGAAATTGTAGCTAGAGGAGAAGCAATTAGATAACATATTTAAAAAGTAATACCATTCAGATATGCCCGCATTGATATGACAGTACCTTACTTTGAAAGCTTCACGTTTTGGCCGCAATAATCATGCACTACTGTAAAACTTACATTACTATGAGCGAAGTTGACGATAATAAGTAACTAATACAGGCATAACACCTGAAAGCAAGTACGGAGTCGAGTTACAACTGCGGCCAATGTATATTTGCAGTCGGGAAACTTGGAAACTAACCACTATAGTTTGTTGAAAACACAGGACCCCTTTCGACTGACCCACTCTGTAACAATCCCGACACTGATACAGTTGCACAAGAACAAGTAACCCATCCAGTGCGACCGATGTGTGTTGAATAATTCCAGAGTCATACGACTTTGAGAAAGCACTGTGTTCACGAACCAATGTGAACGCCGTTCACCTGTGTCCGTTTGCCAATGTCTCTGCTTTTGACGGGCATCTATTGAGAACAAAGTAACCTGAATTGTGCCACGGATCGTCACCGACCCTTAACTGTACGGCAGTGAAGCATCGGTGTTGAACACTGATGTCATGCTGTCGATGATGATGATGATGATGACCGACCCTTAGCAAGGGTAGCATTTGCCAAAAGATGGCTGTACGAATGTCGTGTCTTGAAAGTCACTTTTGCAGTAAAGTGTTGAAAGTCAAACCAGGCAGGAAGCGGTGACACACATAAGGCTGTTAAGTTACGTTAGCAACAGAAGTGCAACGCCGTGCGTCAGATAGTCCTAGAACAACGATTCGATAGGGTTGAGGAGGAGGCGAACGATTGAGTTAGGTGTATAGAAGTTGGTAAACTCACAGTTTCGTCAATAAGAAGGCAGTGGAGAGAAGGGCAAAATATTGGACGACAACGTCAAGGTGAAGGGCAAGTGTTGATAACCAAATGACGATCACGTCCAGCTGAGCACCAACGTCACCAAATACGGTCAGGTTGACTAGGTTCAAGGCCGCGTGACGCAGCGTAGGGACGGCTTTTGAACGACAGGCAAAAGTCAGTTCAGAAATCAGTTCGCTCAGCGTACCAGATCGACCGAGATTCAACTCTTTCATTTTCTGCAAAAGAGCTGTTCAGTAAAAATAAGAGGGAAACCGCATAACAGTTGAAAGATCGGTGATGAACACCAAGGTCCCATGAGAAAATTGGCTTGAAGTGTTACGCTAAATTTCCTGTGCTAACGATCAAATGTACAATCTACTCGAGTTCGTCACAAATTGTGATCACTTGCTTCAGAAATGGGACACGCGTAAAGACATGTTTTCATGAATGAGACGTTCCCAATAAAATGACTAGTAGTTATTAGATGTTCCAATCAGGCTGGTAAATCATGGAGTATTATTCTAGGTGAGTTTGACAAAACTTTATCTTTAGAAACTACGAATGACGTATGAAATACGTCATAGTATGGTTTTGAACTCAGTTGAACACCACATTCGAGCACCCAAAGGTCACTTGAGGAAGGCGGTTGGATGCAATGGGTATCCCAAATGGCTAGCTCCTACACAAAGAATTGGATAAAACGTCACCTGCTTGTAAGTCTCAAATTGCTTTCTACCATCGGCTTCAAATAATGGGAACCATCATGACTGTTCCCCAATGATATGCCTTCTCTGGGCATCCGGGATTTACTAGCAAACGAAACATGTTTTCATCCGTAAGGCCACAACTAACCGTGATTGACCTCGTCGATGGTTGTCCAGGAATATCCAACGAATATGACTTCTCACTTGTGTTTTCTCGTTTCAGTAGTGTTCTTACATGTCCATTATAATTGCTATGCATTACTAGATTTGTTGTGGCTGGAATAATGGTCCCTGTTAACTCTCACATACTGCAATAATCTTCATGTCCCATGAAGATCCACTTCTCCGGTTCCGGTTCACCTACACTGACATGTCATGAATCCGAGATTCGGTTAGCTGCAGGCAATTTGTATTGTATCATATTGACGAACTACTTGAATTTAGGGGACCAATGCCCTTATGAGTAGTACATTACGTCCGAACAGTTTGTCTACGGATTTCACTTCAATCGATCGCTCCGGTATGCGATGAACGACTGCGTTGAAAACTGTTGATTCTCCATCTCAGGAGATGATCGTGCGTCAGCTGGCGTTATCGCGTTGCAGCTATCTTGATTAGAAAACCTTTGAAACTGAGGAACGCAGGGATTATGCCTCGAGTACCAAACAAGTGTCTCCGTTCGCGAAGGTCACGTTGACATTAGGACTATTGTACGGTTATTTTTGCTCTAAGACTGTTATTCAAAACCATAAAACTGGAATTAAAAATACCATCTATGCCTTTCCATTCCGAACTGTCAGAAACACGCACACACACACTTGTCTGCTGCGGTCTGTAGGTGCAAGGTGCACCGAAAAAAGTAGCACTAATGCGTGTGACGCTGACCACAAGAAGCTTGAGCCCCTAAATTATGAGCTACATACAGAAAGTATCGTTGGACAGAAGATTGCAGGCTCTTTCAAAATACGATAGCTGTAACATAAGAGACCAAAGGAAAATGATAGTTGAGAGTAGTCAGAATCCGAATTCTTTATCCTAAATCCCTTTCTACCGAGTTGACAGACGATGCCTGTAGTAGCCAACACTGAAGATAACATAAACATTGAGATTTTCGCCATGCGTGTAAACAGCCGGTAGCTAGATTTCCGAATCATCTTCAGGGTCGAAGGTGTAATGGACAAAGCTGCGACCAATCGGTTACAGATATTTTGATTGCGACAGCCTGTGCGTTTAACGTGTCAATACATTCGGATGCTGCTTTGGCGTAAACAGACAAGTGTCGTACAAGCAGCACACAGTAGCTATGGCAAAAACGCGAGCACAAAGTTCGAAACAAGTCTTGTTCATTTCTGTCGTCGTAACTTGGCCACACTAAAAATGTGGACTGCCCACGGTCTGTGACGCAATCAAATGTTTGTCATTCGAATCCAAGTCAAATAACGCTGAATGAGCCCAGCTGGCCAGAGTGAACAAATACAAACAAATACCAGGAATATGGATTGACAGCAAGCACGAAGTGCAACAAATTCTGCTTCAAATAAGTAGAGTCCATAGGTCACGACATTTGTACAGTAGCTTTCCGAATTGCACACTGTGCACAAGTGACCAGAACTAGTTTTAAGTTCGCCTTGTTATGGTGCGTTAGTCGCTTGACAGTTGCGGTGACCCTTTTTTAGTGCGTATCGTGAAAGTTGCCTGCAGTCTGTAGAGACTGAAACGGTTGCTCAGAGTCGTGCATAACTGTAGTCTACACCATACATCGCGAGTAAATTGCATGGTCCGACTGACGGATAAACCCATTTTCAGGGCGCTAAAGAAATCTAGCTGGTAGATGTGTCAAATGGAGTCACATAAAGCTTGCGTATGTCGTAACACATTTGGTATTGTTCGATTCTCTCATTTTTCTCCATCGGTTACACATAGTTCCAGCGTTTTTCTACCAACTGTGTGAAAATAGCCCAACAATTTGTGAAACGTTGACATAAGATTTTGTGGGTCGACTGCGGAAGCAGTTCAACATTTGAATGTTTCTTTAGCGTATTTTGAGAGAGCTTGAGATTTCCCACCGAAACGTGCTCAACACGGATGACGTTGGCCGTCTATCGCTAAAATGCGTTGTGATCAAAACTGACCGCTTTCAGTCGAATTAGGGTGGTTATCCTAGTGTTGAACCAGACCTCGACAGCAAAACCTTACAAGTTAGTTCTATCCTGTAGACATGCGCATGCACGCACCAAAGACATATCATATATCGGTTTAGCTGCTTTCTTCGATGGTAACAAGTCTGACGGTCTGAGACAAAGTAAATCGGTCAGAAGCGCGGTTTATATCCGTAGTTACAAGTTGTTGCTAAAATACAACGCTGCGTCAGTAACAGCGATTAATTTTGGAAACGATCCGCTTCAATCTCATTGGAATACGCTCAAGTGAACTGTTACCATGTTGCCTCTGTTGAGAAAGTCCTGTACTCTATCTTCATGGGCGGATTTGAAAGCAGGTCTGTCAAGTGGCCTGTTGTTTGTCCATTTGGCGAAAACCGGACTCCAAACAAAAAAACAGTGGGAACATCAATTGGCTCCGATAATTGGGTAGATATGATTATCTTAGAAATCCCACGATTCTGCTGGCGGTGTTGTTCTGTAGTTCTCCGCAATTCCCCTGCTGTCAAGTTTATACTTGGCTGTGCAAAGTCTAGAGATAAAAAATCGAACAAATACAACTGGATGTTGGCGCTATCACATCTGTAGAGTTCCCGTGAAACCTCGCGAATATGAGAGGTTTATGTGACCGTTATTCTCTTAACGCTACGGCGTCCATGGTAAGCGCGACGACTTCGACAGTCCCAGCTACCGGTGCAACCTGGATTTGTTAATATCGGAAGGCAACTCTCCATCAGCCTGTTTGAGTGTTACAGCACCTCTAAATGTCGCCAATCAAATCCTCACCACGCGGACTAGGCATTGAATGACTCTCAATGGGGAATGATGCAAGATCGATCAAATTTGCAGCTCTCGACCGGATGTGTGAGTCTAACAAATGCTTTCAGCGCCCAAAAACACATATTTTTATGTGAGGTCTTAACGATGGACGAACCACCAGTCAGGTGGAAAGCATACCCGTCACATCGCCTAGGGTGTCAGTTGTGGACAACCGGCCTTATCGAGAACCTGAAGGTGGAAACAGAAGGTAAGAAGCGTGCACTATTTCGAACTATTTCGGTTCAAACTACACCTGTGAGTGCGACAGAAGCGTTACTTTTCTGAACGTCCCAAGGTAAGAATTCTGCATAATGTGCAATGATGATGTACGCTAGTAAGAGCAGTCAAAGCTCCCGAAACTAACTGAAACAATTGGTTTCTGGATTCGACTGAAACGTCCATCCGACAAGCAGCTCTGGTTCGACTTGATGTTACTGCTTATTGTCAGGAAGTCTGAATTTCGGACATTGAATCTGCCTTCATTGGCAAAAACTTGATTAGCCCTCTCATCGGAATCCGCAGTCCGCGACAAGGCGAGAAACAATCGAAAACAATATGGGATTGATACGAAAGAGAATATGGAGACAGTTAACAACACGGGTAGGATAGGAAAACTACTTCGAAGTGCATCGGAAAAACACCAACTCCCAGAGTTGACATACGTGACACAACAAGGCAGAAGTTTACGGAACTAGATGATAACGTTACCAGGTGAATGTAATACCCTTGTCCAATGACTATTCGCGCCTCAAAAATCTCGTCTACAAGCTCCACTACCACACACAACGTCAACTGAATCGCTTCGATGAGGAAGACACTAACAAGAATGCAGCTCACGTAAGGAAAAGGATATCCTTCGGAAAAGTGGCATCCACACAAACGCGTACAAGACGTATACATCTGTAGGTCGATCTATAAGATCTATCGTTCTGCGTAGGAAGCAGATGTTGTGGTACGTCAGTTCTACTACCGTTCCCGGAGAAGAGAGATAAGTCGGTATGTAACAACTACCAGAAAGCTAACCTTATCGCTACGATGACCAATATATTCCCATCACTTTCACTTAATCGCATCTCAACTGTCAGACATCTGACTAAATCAAGGAAGCTTTCAGCCGATAAGACATTTTGCTTTCCTCCGATCATTCGCAGATCACTTCAAATCCTTACCAATTCGTGTACTGTAGACTCGTGTGCTGCTTCCACCTCAGTCAAAAGCAATTTCCGACGGAACCTCCAGCGGGGAGGCCCAGTAAAATTAGCCGAATTACCCTTTCGACAAAACTTGCTGTCTTGATCTCCACAAGAGAGAAGGACGCGGATGACGCCATTTTATTTAGACATAACATCAACAGAATACTGGATAACCATCCCGGAGACTGCAGAAAATCATAACTTAGTACAAATGCTGATATATGTGTATATATATTCCTGCATATCCAACCTGTGGTTCACCAACGATCGGGTTTCGCCTAGATGAAATTCCCATGGGTCTTGCACCGGTTCTACCCCCTACTGAGCCCTACGCTACCAAATTCAGTTTCGGCACTGACACCAATAATGCAACAGTCTTCTCCACTGTTCATACAATAGTGATTTGGATAGAGTTAATTCATACAACGGCCATTCGTGAAATAAAACGACCTACCAACGTGTCACACCACACTTGAGTTAGCTATTTGCCTCATTACCCTTTGAGACAAACCTACTGACAGGCGATGTAAAGCCCAAAAGTGAGTTCCCATAAGTGACAAAAGAAGAGCCAGGTGTGCAACATATAGTGACTCCGATGACAATTGCGTTTAAGCAAACAATTAAGAAGTACGCTAGTCATTCCAACCAATTTTTTAAATTGACTGATCGGGTCCATGATCACAGAGCAGAAACGCCACAACTGAGCAATGGAATTCGTCGAAGCAGTGCGAACGAATACGATTCAGATTAGCAAGCTGTTTGTCTCATATATGTGCCGGATTTAAGACAACAACTAAGGTTTATGAGTTCCAGGTTGGAGAAATGCTAGACTCAAGTATAATACCATTCGAAATGCAATGCACAACCATTCTCTAAGACGATCACAATGTTGTGGTCTTCGTTGGCTTACTTTGTCCATTCACAGCAAATAAAGTCAGTGAAGCAGCGCCCGTTTGCTGATATATAACGGAGATACTGCCTGCCCTACTGACATCTGTCGAAAATTGAACCGAAAACATTTTCTGTAGGAGAGCTAGATCGTTTCGAGGTTCAGTTGAATTGGCTTGAGTTTATTTCTCAGTATAACGAACTACGTTACCTAAGTGCTGGTGGGCCTAAAACTCACCTGGACAGGCATGCCGAATATATCGTGTTTAGGACAAAGGTTAAGATATCGAGATAAAATGAGTCGAGCAAAAATCTGATCACCCCCACAAAGCAAAACTCAGCTTACGCTCCAAAGCGGCTAGAAATTCTGCGTAGAGGGTGTCGTCACTTCGACTTTTCCGACTGCCTGCCAAAAGACTGCTATAGATTCCATGCTGACGAAAGGTTCGCGCAGGACATGTCAGTTCGGACAGATTGATTGGATGTATGCTTTCACTTTGTCCTTCCGATACATTTCTAACGTGTAAACGTGGCACAGGCTCGCTGACATCTTCCTTCGATAAGTCTGTAACATCTGCAATGCGCAATATCTGCAAAAATGTAGGAAGGCAAAATGTTCCATCAGTCCGTGATTTTGATGTGTAATTGTAGTTACTAGGGGTACTAAGCATGTTGTAGGGCAGTCGTTCCCGTTTCGATTGAGCGAAGATTAGATGAGCTACCTGAAATTCGTCCATCCCCTAAACTACAGACATCTGATACCTATGACTGACTCCGGGATTTTGAAGAATATGCATTAATATCACTCATTTGAACACTACTCTTCCTGTCCCGAGGCGATCATTCTGACGAGTCCACACCACTTGTGTGTTCGTTCAGCTGGGACTCGACACTAAAATCACAGCCACAAACATTCGGGGATGTTGGTCGTTGGCTTGTTCAGCTGGGTTCCAGGTGAGAGAGATTCAGCTGGGTTCCAGGTGAGTCTCTCGCAAAACCAAATTAGTCTGCAAATGAGTGTATTTCGCAAACAAGACAACTTTCAACAGTCCACCAATAATCCGCTGGGAAATTTCCGGAGCCGAATTTACATCGAAGGAGGAGAACGGTGTAATAAAGAAGTACCATTTACTTAATTGTGTTGACTGATCCATTTCATTTTGACAGTGAAATCCCTGTCGAATATAGTGATGAGGTAAGAAGCGCTATATAGTCATCGTATCGAATGTCAGTGAGCAAACTCTCCGGAGGCATTTTGATTTACACTGTGTTATTGTCGGGCACAGAAGATTCATTCAACGAACCAGAGGCGGAAAGACAAGGGATTTTGCCTTAACTGACCCAAATTGGTGTAGTAAATTCAGGTGGAAGTTTGCTGTGGACCTCTGCTTGTCCACAGAATAAAGGGCATAGGGCCTTTAGACAAGAATTCAGAGAGGTCAACTTTCATTGCCAAAGTTTTCATAGTTACTGATGGTCGGAGGAGTCAAAACCAGCATCCAAAACAAATAAATAAAACAAAGTAAAAACTACAACGTGATATCGACTGGTTCAAGTGTCCTGTTGCACCGGAGCGGTGAATTTTCAAGCTAGATTTCTGTTTTAAATGGAAATTTGCTCTCGACTTGTGGTTCATCCGGAGACAGTGGTGATGAGAGCCAGCTGGACTGTTCTTCGAAATGTTCAGCCCACCGTTCAGGACGTCATTTATGTGAATGAATCGGAGTTTCGTACTTTTATTGGATCGCCTCACTGAAGATGGCTCTCTTTATGCCGGCTGATCGAATAATTTGAGAGTTGTTCCCAGCCGAGCCTTCGTCTTCCACCAGCGCTTTCTGTACACCATCACCATCATCATCATCATCATCAACATCATCATCATCATCATCATCATCATCATCATCAAAGACAGCAACATCTGTGTTGGCACTGATGCTTCACTGCTAGATGGCTTATGTGGTTAGGGCGCGAATTTACTGATGGGAAGATTCGTGGTTCGAACCCGACCTCTGCATCTCTACTCCTCCTGTCTATGCTTGTGCAACCTGGTACTATCTCAGCCCTCATGCCTCCTTCAGGTGGCATGGCAGCTTGGCACCGAAAGGGTGGTACAGCTGAACTACCGTCACGAAGAGACTGGACCTTACCGTGATGTGACGGTTTGCGCACCTCAGCAATCCATTGAGCTATATTGGGAAGTGTAAACGTGGCACAGGCTCGCTGACATCTTCCTTCGATAAGTCTGTAACATCTGCAATGCGCAATATCTGCAAAAATGTAGGAAGGCAAAATGTTCCATCAGTCCGTGATTTTGATGTGTAATTGTAGTTACTAGGGGTACTAAGCATGTTGTAGGGCAGTCGTTCCCGTTTCGATTGAGCGAAGATTAGATGAGCTACCTGAAATTCGTCCATCCCCCAAACTACAGACATCTAATAACTATGACTGACTGCGGGATTTTGAAGAATATGCATTAATATCACTCATTTGAACACTACTCTTCCTGTCCCGAGGCGATCATTCTGACGAGTCCACACCACTTGTGTGTTCGTTCAGCTGGGACTCGACACTAAAATCACAGCCACAAACATTCGGGGATGTTGGTCGTTGGCTTGTTCAGCTGGGTTCCAGGTGAGAGAGATTCAGCTGGGTTCCAGGTGAGTCTCTCGCAAAACCAAATTAGTCTGCAAATGAGTGTATTTCGCAAACAAGACAACTTTCAACAGTCCACCAATAATCCGCTGGGAAATTTCCGGAGCCGAATTTACATCGAAGGAGGAGAACGGTGTAATAAAGAAGTACCATTTACTTAATTGTGTTGACTGATCCATTTCATTTTGACAGTGAAATCCCTGTCGAATATAGTGATGAGGTAAGAAGCGCTATATAGTCATCGTATCGAATGTCAGTGAGCAAACTCTCCGGAGGCATTTTGATTTACACTGTGTTATTGTCGGGCACAGAAGATTCATTCAACGAACCAGAGGCGGAAAGACAAGGGATTTTGCCTTAACTGACCCAAATTGGTGTAGTAAATTCAGGTGGAAGTTTGCTGTGGACCTCTGCTTGTCCACAGAATAAAGGGCATAGGGCCTTTAGACAAGAATTCAGAGAGGTCAACTTTCATTGCCAAAGTTTTCATAGTTACTGATGGTCGGAGGAGTCAAAACCAGCATCCAAAACAAATAAATAAAACAAAGTAAAAACTACAACGTGATATCGACTGGTTCAAGTGTCCTGTTGCACCGGAGCGGTGAATTTTCAAGCTAGATTTCTGTTTTAAATGGAAATTTGCTCTCGACTTGTGGTTCATCCGGAGACAGTGGTGATGAGAGCCAGCTGGACTGTTCTTCGAAATGTTCAGCCCACCGTTCAGGACGTCATTTATGTGAATGAATCGGAGTTTCGTACTTTTATTGGATCGCCTCACTGAAGATGGCTCTCTTTATGCCGGCTGATCGAATAATTTGAGAGTTGTTCCCAGCCGAGCCTTCGTCTTCCACCAGCGCTTTCTGTACACCATCACCATCATCATCATCATCATCAACATCATCATCATCATCATCATCATCATCATCATCATCAAAGACAGCAACATCTGTGTTGGCACTGATGCTTCACTGCTAGATGGCTTATGTGGTTAGGGCGCGAATTTACTGATGGGAAGATTCGTGGTTCGAACCCGACCTCTGCATCTCTACTCCTCCTGTCTATGCTTGTGCAACCTGGTACTATCTCAGCCCTCATGCCTCCTTCAGGTGGCATGGCAGCTTGGCACCGAAAGGGTGGTACAGCTGAACTACCGTCACGAAGAGACTGGACCTTACCGTGTTTTGACGGTTTGCGCACCTCAGCAATCCATTGAGCTATATTGGGAAGCTCACATAGTCTCTCATACCAGATTGGTCAATGGTTGGAGGTCTCACACATACCAGATTGGTCAATGGTTGGAGGTCTCACAAACACAATCTCCTGACCCTCCAGGTTGGGGGTTGGAACATGCAGAGACTTGTTCCGTATAAATGATAATGCATTCGCATTTCCCGCCTAACACCACTGCTTTGCGGTTAGGCTTTTGAGCCAAAGACTTTGGTTGAGGACCCTAAACGTCCTCCCGTCTAGGTGTGCCCTGACAGTATCCCAGTCCTCATACAACCATGAGATTCACAACTAGCAATACTCTCATGTCCCATCGGCCGTCGCTTTTTGGCATATACGGCACAACATATTATCATTCTGATACATGCAAATGGTATCATGTAATGCTCCACGTCTGTGTTATTGAACGATGCATGTCTTTATTATACCCGAACAGTTTCTGGAGAAAACCACTCTGTAAGATTTATGTGAAGCAAAATTGTCGACAAAAATACCTGAGAATCTTCTGTGAACTGAAAATATACAACTACTTTTAACGGGGATTGCTTCCCTCAAGACACACGAGAAATTATTTTTGTGCCGAAATCGTATCTGTGAAGAAGTGATGGTAGGGTGTGGATTTGTTTATCTAAATTCGATGAACTACTAGTGGCATCGGAAACGCAGTGCTGGGCGACGGCCATCCTTCTTAACGAAGTAAATCAATACATAAGCAAGCTTCGAAAAGTTGTTTACGACAACACGAAGGATGTATATGGTCTGTAGGTCCATTGATGTTTAGCAGTGAGAGATACCAACCTGAAAAAAACTTCCGAGAGCTGCATACCTTTTGCTATAGTTCAAGGCTTCACGTGAGCAAGCTGTGGCTGCCAACCATGTTGACATACATTAGGAACCCAGGCAGTGTTATATTGAAAGAGTGGTCAACATTTTGCCGAAGTTTACCTTAATTTGCCTTCAGTGGACGTGGCAGCTGAGAAAACTGCGCATATTTTCCATTACTTTTATAGAAGCTATCTCACTTATCATCACTATCAGGAAGGTCAGATTCCTGAAATCAACTTCTGAACGCCCGGAACCTACTGCTCCACCAAAAGCTCAACTAGAAAGCCGGCAAGATCCAGGCCAGTCAATCATTCGATCAATTCAGTAAAACCTGATGAGTGTTCTCTGCGCCACAGAAGCACTACCGAACGTGATCAGCATTCAGGCTTTTCACAGAGGCACCCTCGATGTTGATGGGTGATCACTAACGCCTATCAGACAGCCTGGATCAATGTCAGAAAGTCCCCTTTAAATAGCGTGGGGTTGTTGTAACTTTTGCACTCGCACTCGCACGCACTCACTCGCTTGTTCGGAATACAGCTGTTGTGTTCCCTTCTGTGAGTCTTTTCTCTCCGAAACTAGGCACTGGAGCGGGTCAGCAGCAGATACCTCAGGTTGACGAATCAGCAGACATAACAATTACCATTTTTGAAATCTTGATTAACAAGTTTATTTGAATTTATATTTTGTATTCAACTAATAAACTCCATTGGAACGTTTGAAAATACACAGAAAAAGGACGTTTCATTTGCGGTAGCCCAGTTCGGTCCCACCTACAACCACAATCAATTATCTTGAGAATTTTTGTATTTTATTGTAGGTAGAGTGCATCTGTGTTAGAATGCTGAGAGGCACTGTAGAGTTGTTTCATTCTCATTGGGAATCA